GATAAGGCCTTAACTAGTAAAAGCAAGGATATGATTGTTGAAAGTGATGGTGTTCTTTGAATAGGTGACAAGCTATGTGTAGCAGACGTAGATGGGTTGAGACATGCTATTCTTGAAGAAGCCCACAACTCTAAATACCCCATATATCCTGGATACACAAAAATGTACCATAACCTGAAGCAAATTTATTGGTGGGAAGGTATGAAGAAAGATATTGCTAACTTTGTTTCTAGTTGTTTGACTTGTCAGCAGGTCAAGGCTGAGCATCAGCGGCCCGCAAGACTACTACAACAAATTGAGATTTCAGAGTGGAAATGGGAAAGAATTACTATGGATTTTGTCATCAGTCTACCACAAACCCTTAGAGGTTATGATTCGGTGTGGGTAATTGTAGATCGACTGACAAAATCAGCACACTTTTTACCAGTAAAGACTACATATGGTGGAGTGAGGTATGCACAGATATTTATGAACCAAATTGTCCGACTTCACAGAGTTTCAGTATCCATCATCTCTGATAGAGGATCACAGTTCACTTCATGCTTTTGGAAATCTTTACAAGAAGCATTGGTTACACGAGTAGATCTTAGTACTGCATTCATCCATAGACAGACAAGCAGTCTGAACGTACTATACAGATCTTGGAGGATATGTTGAAAGCTTGCATTCTTTAGTTTAGAGGTAGTTGGGACACTTACCTACCTTTAGTTGAGTTTGGTTACAACAATAGCTTCCAGTCCAGTATTCAAATGGCACCGTACGAAACATTATATGGTAGAAGATGTCGTTCTCCTATCGGATGGTTTGAAACTGGTGAGACTAACTTATTGGGACCTGACTTAGTACAAGAAGCTATGGACAAAGTCCAGTTGATCAGACAGAGATTGCTTTCAGCTCAAAGTAGACAAAAGTCTTATGCTGATAAGAGAAGAAGAGATTTAGTGTTCACAATTAGGGACAAAGTGTTCTTACGAGTCTCCCCTATGAAAGGTGTGATGCAGTTTGGGAAAAGAGGCAAGTTGAGCCCCAGGTTCATAGGACTGTATGAGATGTTAGACCAAGAGGGAGCGGTAGCTTATCGTTTGGCACTTCCTCCTGAGTTGTCCTTTATTCATCCAGTGTTTCACGTCTCAATGCTAAGAAAATGTATTTCAGACTTATATCAGGTGATTGAAGCACCGACTATACCACTCGATGAGAAGTGTCTTATGAGGAGGAGCCAATGGCTATTGTTTATAGACAAATAAGAAATCTATGGTCAAAAGAAATCGTATTTGTGGAAGTTTTATAGAGAAATCATACCGTTGAAGAAGCTACTTGGGAAGTAGAAAATATATGCAAGTGAAGTTTCCCCATTTGTTTTAGTTTACAGGTACGAACTTGAGTTACATTCGGGGACCGAATTTCATAAGGTGGGGGGATGTAATACCCTATATTTTTAATAAGGGTGTATTGGTCATTAACATAATAATAATAAGGAACTATCTATAAAAAACTAACTAAATAAAAAAAAGGAAAAATCAAGGAATTTAAAACAAGGGTCGAAGCCCATTAGAAAACATTGAAAAGGGTTAAAACAAAGCTTCAGACCCCTTTCTGAAGCAAAAGAAGCAGAAAGCAAACGGGACCAAGGAAAAAAAGACGAGCAGAGAAAAGAAAAAGGGGGAAAAGAAGAAAGCTTTGGGCAAAGGCCTTAAGAAGAATTGGGAGTTGAAATTGAAAGTATTAAAGCTCTTCTTCGACACAAGAGGTTAACTTTCTTCCCCTCATTTGTTGAATTATTTCACCGCATCTATGCAATTTCATGTAGTACAAAAGAATTCAATATCAACTTTCTCTTATATAAAAAGAAATATACAATTACTATGGAGATAATAAGGCTATAAAGGTTTGATTTAAGCACTGATAGGTCTAATTTTAGAGGAATAAATTATACTAAATAGTTTGAAATTGATAGAATTATGGACTAGTTCTAAGATTAAATATAAATTCACAAACTAAGACTCAAACATGAACCCCGATGATTGTGTATTCTAAATTAGTGATGGATTTAGCCTAAATGAGGCAATTAACATGAGATCAATATTATGTAATTATAGATTGATTGGAGGAATTTGTACGAATTGCTCGAGGTGAAGCATTTGGTATTTCGGCACGAGTACTGTGAGTAGTAATCTTACCACAATTTGTGTTTTCATAACTTGTATGATTTACACATAATTTTTAATATGAATATGTTACCGATTATTTTAAGTTGCATGTGGGACAAGTCTTTTACTCGATATGATACCGAAATAGTTATTTGAGATGATTTCCGTGGTTTTAAATATTTCCGTTATCACTAGATCTGTTTTACCGTTACTTGAATTTACCGTTATCGAAATGAAATTATATGATTTGATAAGAACCGAAATGCCCTATATTGTTTTAAAATATTTTCTACGAGTATATACGGATTACAAAGACAAGTATAAATGGGAGTAGACATTGAAGGATCCCGTAGCTAACGGCGGGTTAGTTAAACCTGGTGAACCTTGTAATTACCGATTACCGTTACAGTCCTCGCTAGTGGGAAGGTAGAACTAGCATACCGTTATCGATTTCCCTCGAGTAGGGGCTACCGTTATATTTGACTTCTTGCGAAGAAGTTCCATAGTTATACCGATTACGTGATCCGTTCATTGAAGCCTCCCAAATATGAATATTGATATTATATAGTGGTTACCGAGATTATTACTAATTTGTTAATTGTATTTTACTACAAGAAAAATATGATGAGACTGAAAATTATTTATTGTTTCTGAAAGGGCATTTTTATGTTATTTTCTGTTTGAGATACTAACATGTTTCTGACTTGTCCCCAATAAAAACGGTGGTAGTTAAGTGTTATTACTCATTGAGCTAGCGACTCATTCCCCACTAATTTTGTTTTACAGAGACAACAGTTGACGCGGGAGAGGATTTCGTTAATTAGAGCGCACAGGTTAATAGTTCTTGGTGAGCCTCGCACTTGTTCGCGCGGGCGAAAATTTTATCAATTGTTATGGTCTTTTCTTTGAACTCTTAAAGTCGATCAATGGTCATTCTTTTAGTGTCTTGAGTATTCTTTGTTATTATAGACTTATGTTGAGTATCGTTCATTCTTATCAAATTTGGAGATAAAGTTGTATTTCTAGTTGTTAGTGGGGAAACTATTAAAGGTAGATATTTATTTTGGTTAATTGATAAAGTCATTGTCATTTGAATTGCTATTAGGATATTTGGTTGCTGATTTGAGACAGGGAAAATTTTTGGGATGGTCCAAAAAAGGGGGAAACTCTGTCTGATTTTCTGTAAAATACCGATGAGGCTTACTTAGGGCCACTTGCTCCTAAGTGCCGGTCATGATCCTAAATTGGGTCATGACATACAATAACTTGATATGGGGAACTGGTCTGTAGGAGTGTTGTTCTTTGTTCTTGATGATCAATCACAGTGAGTGTGCTTGAGTAAATTCTCTAAATGTTCGAGAGATTTGTTTTACCTTCCTTGATGTTAATAATCCATTTGTGACATCACTTAGGATAATGTAAGCAAGGTAGGTAAAAGACACTCCTCATAAAGTTGACTGCTGCACTGTTTCTGCACTATAGCGTGTGCAGGCGGCAACTTTATAGCTGGGGTAGTTGACTTGTGCAGTTTCCTCGGAAAACGGTAGCTATCTATTCCCTCTGTTGTTCCTTTGACTCTGAAGAGTTGAACCATATCCCACGCTGGAACCTTTTTGATCTTAAGGTCTTGAGAATCTGTAACAGGTTCTTTATCTGGTTCTTGACAGTAAATTTGTTAGATCATCAAAACATAATAGGGATACACATATAATTATTAAACATGTTGACGACCTCAGTTATTTATCACATTTGCTGCCATGCTTTACACATTCTCTCGGCATGTATTTATTAGATTGATATAAACACCTAAGGGGTCGTTTGGTATGAGGTATAAGAAGGTATAGGGGTGATATAAAAATTTATTACCACCTTAATATTTTGTTTGGTTAGCAAACCAGGCATAAGTTATCTCGGTATTAATTTTAACACCGGGATAATTTATACCTTATAGAGGGTGGGGTAATTAGTACCGGTATAACTTATACCTTCTTCGTAGAAGTTATACAATTGTCATTCTTAATATAACATACCAAACAGTGAATAAACAACAATCTCAGTATAACTAATCCTAGCATAACTTATTCTAATATAACTTATACCGGCATAATTTATACCGGTATAAATCGTATTCCAACCGAACGATCCCTAAGTGTTTACCGTCAAAAATGTGTGTCCCTTTTCACCAAGAATGGTGATATTTCAGGGTAGTAGTTAATTTCCTTTTCTCTAGGAATTGTGCAAAGGGTTGTTCACGGTTTCGTGTTTAATTTAAGGATTATGTGTTAAATTTTATAATGACGATCACAAGAAGTTGTTTTTGCTGAATCTTCGATTTTCAACCATTTGAACACCTCATTTATCCAAGCTTTTTTTTATGACATTTACAATTTCGTGTACATATAAATTCTATTACAGGCGGATAAATTTGGAGATCTTAGTCCAATGACCAATTTTTGGAATTATATGATCTTAGTCCAATGACCAATTTTTGGAATTTTTGGAAGCATTTCCCTTTGTGCTCCTGCAGAATTTCTCTACTTTTTCTTAATAGATATTTTTTTTATATTCATCTTCAGCTGCGGAATCTTGTAGTTGCCCTTCCACTTTATCTAGATACATGATATATGTAACCAAACTTATATGCTTTGATGGAAACGCTGTGAAATAAATACCCCTCGAAAATTTGCAAATGGTATTGGCTTTTTAGTTATATCTCCAATAAAACAGGAAAAGAAAAGCATTTTGTCTATAATAGCCTATATTCTCCACAGTTGGTTCCAAGATTTATCTTGCATCACTTTAACAAATAACGTAAAGATATGCATCAATGAAACAATAGACTGCACAGAGTGAAAAGTGAAGAATTGTTGAGTACATCATGTTTTAACTTGAATGTTTGAGCAGCAGACTGAAAAACTACAAGCAAGCAACGTACAATATTAAGAAAAACAGCAGCGTGTGAGGTGTTCATAGGTGCAACAACGGCATCTTTCCCTTACATCCTTTTCCAAAGGTGCAGATAAATGATACTACATTACTTTGGCTAATTACATGTTTGAGTGGAGCAGCTAAAATTTTGTTTAGGCTTGATGGAATTTATACTACAGAGCACACTACAATTCACGATACACACACATAATTAGTTGGAGATGTACATTGCAATTTCTCTTCACCACCAAAATAACTCAAACTTCCGATGTTCACACGACAGCAGAAAGCTGAAATTAACGGAAAGATAATAGTTAAGGGTCAACAGATTGACACCTAACATGCAAGCATTTCTATCAAGTTTACAATCAAAAATGTTTTTGGACATGTTTGTGTATGTCCACATAATGATGATTGATGAAGGATGCAATATTAAAAAAGGTTTGTGGAAAAAAAATAACAAGATTCAAATTAAACAAAAGAAAAATGATTAGGTTTGTGAAAAAAATAACAAGATTCAAATTAAACAAAAAAATATGAAGTTACCAGCATGGAGAAAGGAGCAAACTCATGGATTGTCATTGGAGCATTCTGTTAGTTCAGATCTCAACATGTGATGGAGGAGGAAATCTACTCGCTGGCTCCGAGTCTTAGTGCTGTGCAATGGAAGAAGTTGTCAATCAGAAAATCGGTTACATCCTATATGCGTTAATGAAAATTTCTCATAGTTTAAAATTAGTTAATCACACATACCCAACATTACGTCGCCGCTCCCTTTTTGCTTCCTGAATTATAGAAAGAGAATTCAGGTTCACAAGAGTACTTAGAAATGAAGTGTATAAATAGTTACTCCCTCCGTTTCAATTTATGTGAACCTATTTCCTTTTTAGTCCGTGCCAAAAAGAATGACCCATTTCCTTATTTAGAAATAATTTACCTTTACAATGATTTATAGCCACACAAAATATATGTGCCTCATTTAACACCACAAGATCAAAAGTCTTCTCTCTTTTCTTAAACTCCGTGCCCAGTCAAATAGGTTCACATAAATTGAAACAGAGGGAGTATTATTTAGCAAAGATAACACTGTTAAGTAACGAAATAAGAGATGTAGATCTCCAAGGTTAGTACGAGTTGGTTTGTTTAACGAGGACTTGGTTCAAGACTGAAGGAGCAAACCAGAGGGTAGGCTGTTTGAGGGTTATATTGTGATGAAAATTGAGAATGCAATTTATAGCCCGTTTGGCCATACAATTTTTTTCACTTTTTTCCAAAAAAAAAATTCACTTTTTTTCGAAATCAATGTTTGGCCATAAAATTTTCAATTTTCACTGGAAGATGAATTTCGGAATTTTTCGAATATTTAAAAAACTCCAAAAAGTTATTTTTCAAAATTCACTTCAGATCACTCACAAAAATCCAAAAACAACCCAAAATTGTATATGTCCAAACGCAACTCTAATTTTCAAATAACATTTTCACTTGAAGAAAAAATTCACTTTTTTCGGAATTTTACAATTTTTATGTCCAAACGCCCACTTAGCATGTTACAATAACTGCTGCAGAAAAAGATGTGTAATGGTTGGTTTAAATGCAGAGAGTTGGGGGATTTAACAATAGGAGGAAGTGAGGGAAGAAGAGTAGAGAAACAAGTTTTATAGGACAGAAACTAAATATAGCTAGAGTTTAGTTCTGCGCCTAGATATTTGTTGGTGTCATTTCCATGTGCTACTATATTTAGCAGTGATATTTTATCATGATTTGAAAAAAGCTTCTGTTCTTCTCTTTTTAAGAGTGGCCTATCTGGTAGCTCATGAAGGAATATTTCTCTTTCTAAGTTTGCTGGCTTCATGAGGTAAAATGGTAAAACTAACAATCGCCACAGGAAGAAAAAATGATGTTGCATGAAGAGAAAAATGCTCCCAGGCACAGTCCCCTAGGACACTCTCTTTCCTACTTTCTAGGATTGTAGAGAAACTTTTCCGGCATCCTGTTCTTGCCGGAACATCCTCTTCTTTCTTAAAATCCAAATATATCCTACTGTTTCATTGAGTAAACTACATTTTATTTTATCCAAATTAGCAATAGTATGAAGGAAAACATTATATACTTTGCGATGGGGTTCAAATCATACGAGATAGAGAGACGTACAACAAATGCTGAAGAATAGTTTGAATGGACAGAACGTGGAAGGAACCTAATCAGAAGGACTACATTTAGCAGAAAAATGATGTTGTGGTTATGTGAAAACATGAAAGAAGCACCAAAGGTGAAAGGGAATTATGTGAAAAGGTGGAAAAGCAAAGATTAAATATCAGAGACATACTGTGCAAGGAATTTCAACACTTATGGTCATTATATTTCTATCATTAGGATAATAGGTAGGGGAAGATCGGTCATTATTGTTCTAGAGGCAGCATTCAATGCAAGGTGGCTAGATATTGCAATGAAGATAGAAAGGCTCATTAAGGNTCCAACATCGTCAGGAGCCATAAATGGGTAGGTAGAGAAATGAATGATACAAGAGTTAATGAAGATGGAGGCATCATTCTGGGAATTATAAGCACAATGAGCTGCTGGGTAGGTGTTTGGTAGGGTTTTTTCCAGAAGGTAGCCCAGAAATGGCGACTTTATCAGAGGTTCGAAAATGAGCTTCTAATTCTTGGAAGCAAACAAAGGAAATCAACATATATGAGATGGACAAGCACAGATTCCTCTTTGAATTCTCATCGAAAGCTACAGCCGACCAAATTTTGAAAATAGAATGGTTTTGGAAGAAATTTAAATTGAAGCTTCAATGGTGGTGTCCAACGGTGGGAACAATTCCAACTTTGACAAAAATAACGCACACATGGATAAGGATAGTGGGGCTTCCCCTACATCTTTGGTCTCAAAGAGTGTTCAAAGAAATCGGAGATGTCTGTGGCGGTTGGGTTGAAACAAAGGAGGAAACAGAATTAAAAAACCACTTGAAATGGGCAAGATTAAAGGTCAAAGGAGATGTTTCTTCAATCCCTAAAATGGTGAAGGTGGAATCTGAAGGAATGGTCTTCGAAATGCAGATTTGGTGCGAATCGCCGGTGAGAACCACCATTGGTGAGAATGGAGAAGATAAAAGCTTGAACCAGTGGGTAATAGAGTGCAACAAAAGTACAGAGGGAGGGGCTCGAGGTTTTACAGTAATGACAGGACACGAGGGTACTTCGTCTAAACCTAGTACCTCACTTGACATGTCATGTGATTTTTTAAACTCTTATAACAAGGCCAAACAGACTGCTACTTTAAAGAAAATGGGCCCTGATTTTTTGGCCCAAACAATTTCTGAAGAGAAGGCTTTTAATAAGCCCATAGCAAGGTCCAGAACTGACCCCTTTAATGAAGAATTAAAAGCCATCCAGTTCGAGCCTCTTAAGGAAGACCACATTCTAGTGCTGGCGGAGAATTTAAGAGACAAAATCAGCAATGAAACAACAAAAGAAGGAGAGCAAGAAAAGGGAAAGGAAGACGAGGAAGAAGGAAGACATCAGATGGTGCTGATCAAGGATAATGAAACAGTAACCGAGGCAGAGAATGAAGGAACAATGTTAGAAACAAAGAAGGGCAGCAACATGCAGATACAAGAAGTAGATACAGATAGGTGTGATGCATGGAAAATAGAAGAAGCAATGCCTCTAAACCAACAGTCTTTAGAGCCTGAAGAAGACCTAGAGTTTGAAGCATCTATTTGGGTGCACCAGAACATCATAAAACTCAGTAAAGAATTTGGGCTGGACTTCAATGGGTGCGAAAGGGAAGCTTTGGAATTGTTCATGAAAATTGACAGCAGAAGACAAGTAAACAAAGGGAAAGAAGTATCACCAGCGAACCAGACACCAAAGAAAAAGGGAATCAAAGAATTAAAAGGCCTAAAATTAGGAAGTAATTTCAAGAGCAATGGGACAAGAAGTAAGGGGGGAACCATTACCAGTCAGAGTTAATGATAGTAAACATATTATCATGGAATGTGAGGGGGCTAAATAGGATAAGGAAAAGGAGAGTTATTAAAAGCCTGCTACTAGAGTGGAAAACAGATATAGTTTGTCTTCAAGAATCTAAAATTCAAGGGGATATCAGGGAGATTGTTAGAGAACTTTGAGGTCACAGGTGGGTGAAATATACTCAATTGGAGGCTAGTGGGACTAGAGGGGGAATTATAGTAATGTGGGATGGTAGAGCTTGCGAGGGGGAAGTATGTGGGGTGGGTGTTCATACTCTTACTTGTAAATTTTTAGGCAAGACACAGGATTATATATGGCATTTATAAGCTGTATATGCTCCCAATGATAGAAGGGAAAGGGAAGAAGTGTGGTGGGAGTTGGCAGGGGCAAGGGGTCTCTTTTCTGGTCCATGGGTGGTGTGTGGGGATTTTAACACTGTGAGATATCCTTCGGAAAAAAAAGAATTGCACTAGAATCTCAAGAGGTATGGCGGATTTCTCAAATTTTATTGAAGATATGGAGTTGGTAGATATTCAGTTAGCGGGGGGGGAATACACTTGGAAGAAAGGGGACAGACATGTTATTATAGCTAGACTGGATAGATTTTTGATTTCCACTGACTGGAATGAAGAGTTTAGAAGCATCAACCAACAGGTGATGCAAAGGGAGAAATCAGATCACTTTCCATTGATGCTCAAATGTGGAAGCTGGGAACTAGTCAAATCATACTTCAAGTTTGAAAACTGGTGGTTACAGACTGAGGGATTTAAAGAAAGAATTGAAGAATGGTGGAATTCCTTTATCTGTGTAGGGAGGCCAGACTTTATACTGGTCTCTAAACTCCAAGCTCTGAAGAACAAGCTTAAAGAATGGAGTAGAACTTTGCAAGGCAACCTAGCTTTGCAGAAGGCAAGTGTCCTCAGCAAACTAGCAGAACTCGAAGGAATTCATGATCAAAGGAGCCTGACTGAAGAAGAGATCCTCTCAAAGAACTCATTATCATTAGAGTTTGAGGAGATTGCTAGTAATGAAAAAGCAGCATGGAGGCAGAGGTCCAGGGCTCTAGCTAAAAGAGGGAGACAAGAACACCAAGTTCTTTCACAGAACAGCTAATGCTCATAGAAGATACAATAACATAGATCAACTGTTGGTAGAAGGGGAGACTTTACAGTCTCCGGGTGACATCAAAAGGGAGGTTATCAGATACTATAAGAAGTTGTACAAAGAAGAAGAAGAATGGAGACCAATAGGACCTAATAACATCAACCAGATGATCACAGAGGAGGACAACTTAATGCTGCAAAGCCCATTTGGAGAACAGGAAATATGGGACAGCGTTAAGGTATGTGCAGGGGACAAAGCACCAGGACCAGATGAATTTTCAATAGCTTTCTTCAACAACTGTTGGGATGTGATAAAAACGGAAGTTGTAGCAGCAATCCAGAACTTCTATGAACAAGGAGTATTTGAAAAAAGTATGAATGCTACCTTTGTAGCATTGATCCTAAGAAGGCAGGAGCAAAAGAGTTAAAAGATTTCAGACCAATAAGTTTGATCAGTAGCATTTACAAGATTATTTCCAAGCTACTGACTGAAAGACTCAAGGAGGTGGTCAACAAGCTGGTGGATCATCAACAAATGGCATTCATTAGGGGAAGACAGATCATGGATGTTGTCCTAATAGCTAATGAGTGCATAGATACAAGAACTTCAAGCAAAGAACTTGGGATCCTATATAAGCTGGATATAGAGAAGGCTTATGATCATTTGAACTGGAGGTACCTTCTAGAAATTCTAAGGAGGATGGGATTTGGAGGGAGGTGGACTAGCTGGATATCATACTGCATATCTACTATGAGCTTCTCAGTCCTTATTAATGGAGTTCCAATTGGATTTTTTCCTTCACAGAGGG